GAGGACCTTCAACCCAATATAGTTCAAAGCACTTGGAAACCACACGGACTCCACCCCACAGATCACAGTGGTGTATCTAACGCCCCAAATGAAGAGGGGTGGGGTGAGGCGGGGTGGGGTGGGGCACCTCCCGTGCACTAGCAGAGCCGCTGGGAAAATACCCTTGCCGTTGCTTTAGAGCCAGAGGACCGTGGCTCTGCTAGAAGCCTCTTCACCCTTTAGGAATCTAGGATCCCAGTCAGAGGCGGTGCAGAAGGAAGGCAGACCTTCTCAGGCAGGCGTGGGCATCGTCCGAGGGCTGTGGGAAGCAGGCAGACGCCAGTGGGAATGGAAGCAGCTGGGGGAGGGGAGGCTGGTGCAGGGAGCACCTCACGGGGGGTGTGGTTAGAGAGGCTGCCAGGTGTGCTGGGGACAGAGGTCAGTGCTGAGGACACACGTTTCAGGCAAAGGTGTGGCCTCCCTATGCCTTCGAGGCCTGAGATCAGCAAACCCAGACTCACCCACCACCACTGTTTGCACGGCTGTAAGCTGGGAATGGTTTTTATGTTTTAGACGGTTGAAAGGTCACAGACAGTAGAAGACTTAGCACACGTGACCAGGATGTGATATTGACATGCAGCGTCCACGAGAGCAGTTCGATTGGCGCACAGCCACACTCAGCCCCGTGCCTGTGGCCTGGGCTGCTTTGTGCCTCGAAGGCACAGTTGCGTATTTATGACGGAGACCGCAAAACGAAAACATTTACTGCTGGCCAGGCCTGCTCTGAGTCCTCCTGGTGCTCTACAAAGGCCTCCTCCAAGTCTGGCCGCGCGGCTCCTCCCCCTTGGCGAGGTGGTGGGGGAGACAGACAGCAGGAGGGAAACTTATGTCCCACCTGCCCGCCCCAGAGATCTGATGCCACTCCCCCACCTGCAGACTGGGCTGCAGCTCAGAAGCGGTCTGTGTGGCCATTGGGGAACTGGATTCCTCCCTGGTAGGTGGTCCTGTCAGAGGGGGAACCGACCCGCCTCCTTCCTGGGCTCAGCGCAGTGCTTTCTGGTACACCGAGAGGGCGGAGTTCTGGCTCTGCTTTCGAAGCAGGGACACCAGGCTCCATTCCCTGACCAGGAAGCATCTGCATGGCCGACCGAGCAGAGCACACAGCAGCAGTGAAAACCCAGCTGCGATCTGTAATGCAGCGTCCCCTTTCCCGTCAGATCGTGCATCTGCTTTTCCACGACCATGGGTCGGAAGAGATACCTGGACACCGACTCCCCAGCTGGCTAACAATACTCATCTCTGGGCGCTGGAATTTGGGGTGATTTAAAAAAAACAAAAACAAAAAAAACACACACAACTTTCTTCTTACTACTTGGGTTTCTTTTTAAAAACATTATTAACATGATCATCTTAATAGCAAAGAGAACCCAGCTATTTTGATTTTAAGGAATAAATAACAGTGGCTGCATCTGCTTTGTGTGGGTGATAGAGTTATTTATGTGGTGATGATGTAACCATTAGAGAGACTCGCACCCCATGCAGCCCACAGCCCACCGGAATAAGGGGCTGAAGGGGAAACGGCAGGAGCTGAGAGGAAATGCAGAAGGCAGGGAGTCTGACATGGTCGTCACTGCATGGAACGGAGCTCCCAGCATATGAATCTTGGTTCGTTATTGGTGTGAGGAAGGACAGGACGCGGGTCTCCTGACTGTCCCCTGCTCGGCCTCCTGAGAAGCCTAAGGCCGGGTGTTTTCACGGTGTGTCAGTGCCACCTAGTGTCCACGCTGCCACTCAGCCTCGTCTCTGCGGAGCCTTCGTTCACACTCTTTGTCTGATGTCCCTGCTCCGGTGGCATTTGAGTGGCGGGCGGCGCGATGCCCCCGGGGTTCTCCGGGGCAGTGGGGATGCCTCATTCGTTTATCCTTCCTCCTGTGGCAGCCACAAAGCGGGCCCTCGGCTGCAGCGGGATGTGGCAGTTGAAGAGCGAGCGGATGCCGCCCTGTCAGAGCCCATGTCCCCTTTTCCCCGGCGGCCAGCGCCTTGCAGGGGGACCCGTGCCTCCAGCAGGGACATCGTCCTGCTCCCGGGCGGCCTGGGGCTCGGAGTTCTTGGGAAAGCTGGCTATGGTGGCTCCACAGCCAAGCCACAGTCCCCTGGCTTACCTCCTCCCCTCAGCCACCCCTCCCACCCCCAGTGCCATCCTCGCTCTAACCATTCACTCCAGAATCTCAGTTCTTGGTCCCCCCTCCCTGGCCTGCAGCAGTGAGCAGCCGGCAGCACCTGCTCCCCGGCCCCTCCTCACTCCAGTCCCCCCAGGTTCCGGCTGAAGCTGGAGGGATCTCTGCAGAGTGCAAACCCGCCTGTGTCCCTCTCTGCTCAGGTCTTTCCCGTGGCTTCCGGGTGCTCTTAGGATGAAGGCCAGATGTTTCAGCTGGGCCTCTGCAGCTCCCATTGAGCTGCACGGTTTCCTTCCTCCCGCCTCTTTCTCTGAGCCTTGGCCCAGGCCTAGCTTCCCTCAGCCCCTTAGGCCCCTCCTTCCCGCAGTCCCTGGGCCTGCCCTCCTCTCCCCTTCCTCCTCCCTCTCCCCGCACCTGCCTCTGCTCCCCAGGTGCCTTCTGCAGTCTTTTTTAAAAAATATATATTTTATTGATTTTTTACAGAGAGAAAGGGAGAGGGACAGTGAGCTAGAAACATCGATGAGAGAGAAACATCGATCAGCTGCCTCCTGCACACCCTCTACTGGGGATGTGCCCGCAACCAAGGTACATGCCCTTGACCGGAATCGAACCCAGGACCCTTCAGTCCACAGACCGATGCTCTATCCACTGAGCCAGACCAGATTCGGCACCTTCCGCCCTCTTCCCAGGCCAACAGCTGGGTCCATGCCTTCCATGCTGTGCTTGGACAGGACTGAGTGCCTCTCCTCTTCCCCCTCCCACCCCCCATCCTCCCATCCAGGCAGTAACATCAGCTCCACGTGTGCGATCCTTTGGTGAACCCCATGTCCCCATTCAGACCCCTGGTTCTCAGCCGGGCCAATTGCCCCCTCCCCCCCTGGGACATTGGGCGTTACTGGGGCATTATTGATTGTTATAATGGGTGGGCGTGCTAATGGCATCTAATGAGTGGAGGCCAGGGATGCTGCTAAGCACCCTGCAGTGTCAGCCCCCCAAGAGCAAACAGCATCTGGCCCAAAATATCACCAGTACCGAAGTGAGAAGCTCGGCCAGACTCCGAGCCCAGAGGCCGCAGGAGCCCAGCCGCTGGGACAGCGCACGCTGACGGGATGGCTCAGCCCCTCAGGTGGATGCAGGACCCCTGTCCCTTCAAACCTGCCGCACAGGAAGGGGAAGGGGGTGGGAATTATTCCATGAGGTCCTGCTGGGCCAGCCCTTCAGTGTGTGTGTGTGTGTGTGTGTGTGTGTGTGTGTGTTCGCACACGCGCCTTTGCTTTAAACTGATCGAACGTCTCATGTTAAATTGATTTCCTCTGATCTGTTTACAGTGGTGTTTGAGCTACAATTCTAGTTTGTTGGGATCCCCCACAGGTCCAAGGGCCTGGTTTCTACAAAAAAAAAAAAAAAAAAAAAAAAAAAAAAAAGTCATCAGGGTAAAAGGTCAGATGACTGTGCTAGATTAACCGTCCCATACACGGGAGGCCGTGGGTTTGACTCCTGGGCAGAGCATATATAATATCTAGGTTGTAGGCTCAGTCCAGGCAACCTATCAATGTTTCTCTCTCACATAGATGGTTCTCTCTCTCTCTCCCTTCCTCTCTCTTTAAATAGTCAATGGAAATGTCCTCAGGGGAGGATAAAACAAACAAATAAATAAATAAATAAATAAATAAATAAATAAATACAATTTTAAAGAAGAGACTAAAGCCTTAAATAATGAAATGAAACTCTGGTAAGGGGGACATGGCTATAAACAATCTTTTGGAGACAATTGGGGAAATTTGAATATGGACTGTGCATCAGGTAGCACTATTGAATTCGTGTTTATTTTCTTAGGCATGATCACGGTTTTAGGGTTTTTGTCTTTGCTCAGGTTCTGTAACAAACTCCTGTAGGCTGGGTGGCTTACAAACAACAGAAGTTTGTTTCTTGGGTCCAGGAGGCTGGCAAGTCCAAGATCAGGCCCTGAGGGTGCACTGTGTGGGGAGAGCCCAACTCCTGGTGCACAGCGCTGCGTCCTCCCTGTGTCCTCCCGGAGAAGACAGGGAACTCTCTGGGACCTCACACACACACACACACACACACACACACACACAAACACACTAATAAGGACACTAATTTATAAGGACACTAATCCCACTAATGAGAACTCCACCCTCATGACCTAATGCTTTCCAAAGCCCCACCTCCAAATGCCATCACTTTTGGGATTAGGCTTCAACATGAATTTGGGGCACAAAACAGTCGGTCTCTTGCAATCCGATGGGAGAATGTCCTTCGTCTTAGCAGAGGCCGGGTGGGCTGTGAAGGAGTGACGTGTCAGGGAACCTGCAACTTGCTTATGCTGCCTTTGCAGAGAAACAGGTGTGTGTGTGTGTGTGTGTGTGTGTGTGTGTGTGTGTGTGATTGTGTGTGTGTAGAAAGAGGGAGAAAGCCCTAGCCACTTTTGCTCAGTGGATAGAGAATCAGCCTGCAGACCAAAGGGTCCTGGGTTAGATTCCAGTCAAGGGTAGGTAACTTGGTTGCAGGCTCCTCCCCAATCCAGGCCCTGGTCAGGGTTCATGCAGGAGGCAACCCATCAATGTGTTTCTCTCCCATCAATATTTCTGTCTTTCCCTCTCTCTCCCACTGTCTCTAAAAATAAATCAATGGCAAAATATCCTCGGGTGAGGATTTAAAAATAACGAGAGAGGGAGGAGAGATGTGGCAAAATGTCGAGGGCAGGTTCCGGTGACGGGAGTGGGGGGCTGTGTGTGGTTTTCGGGGCTGGGCCCTGGGACACAGGGCGGGCCGGTGAGGGGTGCGGTGTCCGGGGAGCCCGCTGAGCGTGCCATCTGTCCTCAGTCTGCAGCTCCCCGCCCGTCCACATGAAGGTGCAGCCCCTGAACCAGACGGCGCTGCAGGTGTCCTGGAGCCAGCCCGAGACCGTCTACCACCCGCCCATCATGAACTACATGATCTCCTACAGCTGGACCAAGAATGAGGACGAGAAGGAGAAGACCTTTACGAAGGACAGCGACAAGGACCTGGTAAACGTCAGGGCGCCCGCTGCCCTTGCCGTTAGGAGAGGGGATTCCTGCCGCATCTCTGCCCGGCGCTGTAGGCAGGCCCCCACCCCACGCTGCCACCGGGCGGTAGTTCCCCTGTTTGGACTGTGGCCGAGCCTGCCTGGGCCCCATCCGCCCTCACACTTACCCCCCAACACCACCTGGAAAAGCTAGTTCCTTTTTTTATCTGGGTTCTTTAAACTGACTCCTCTGTCTTCGTTAGTATAGAAGCAGAAAGCTGCTGTAAGGCCTTTTCCTCTGACAGGGTCATTGCAGAGACGAGATGCCATGTGCATGGGCCACAGGCCCTGGGAAGCAGTGACTGAGGACCCGCTGTTACTCCTGCAGCTGTTCCTCCCCTCGCTCTTTCCTCCTGTCCCTGCCGCCAGGCAGCCGTCCGCTGCCCACACTTCCTTTCACGTGGATCCCTGGGACCATGTAATTCTTAGCCACTGTGCTCAGTCTCCCAGACACTGTGGCATCGGACCTCCCCGTGAGCTCCATGCACAGGGCACAGCTCTCCCTACAGCGGCATCCGTGTTGGGTGGCCGGCACCCAACACAGCCCTTCCCAATAGATGTTTGTAACAGCTCCTCCTCCCCTGCGAGAGCAAACCCTCCGGCGAGCACTGGTCTTCGCGTCTCTGCAGAGAAACTCGATGCGAAGCGGTCGGAGGGGAGCGCCCCTGCTTTCCCTGGAATAACGAAATCCGTAATCCGCATTTGCCGCGTGCACACACGATTACGGATTTCGTTATTGCAAAGCCTGCCTTTGATTAACAGTGAAAGCAGGAAGTGGGATTCTTAATGATCGCTACCACTCTCTCTCCCAGCGGAGTCCCCGGGGCCCGTTCCATCAGTGACAGAATAAAACTTGGCGGATCCCTTTAGATGAAGATTCCTTTTCTTCATTCTCGTTTATATTTTCCATTCCCCCACTAGACATAGTTAGCCGGGTCCCATTGGGGAAATCAGAGAGGAGCCTCCTGAAAAGCCCCCGGGGTTGTGATGTGTTTTGACCTTTTCTCTTGTCGGCGCTGGCAGCCCACGAGGGGTTCCCTCTCTGAAGGAACGGTGGCCGCATTAACCAGCAGAGGCTGTGTGGGCGCTTCGGCGGGTCTTGTTCTAAGAGAAAAATAATTAAAATCACCAAGATGAAGAGATGCTGGCTTGGAGTGAATCCGATAAATCCCTGTGTCTGAGGAGCGGAGCCTTTGCCCTGAGCAGGAGACGGAGTTTGGAGAAATTGGGTTCAGAGAAAAATAGGCTCTGATAGTGAGGTCTTCCCCCCGAGAATTTCTAGGGGTGGCTAGTTTCTTTGGGGACACACAAGATTAATTTTCTTAATTCCTCGGGAAGGCAAGTGTGCTGACTTGGCAGCAACAAAACTATTCTTCAGAGGGTGGTTGCCGTGGCCAGGAAGCCTCAGAGGAATATTTAAGGTCCGTGCGGCCTTTTTAAGGTCACGTGCCTCTTCCCCAGCCTCCTGCAGACCTGGGACGGGTGTTATCATTACCTTCTCCAAAAGAGAGAAATGAGACCCACAGGTCACTGACGTGATGTCACCTGCTGCCCTCACCAGGAGCCGGTTTCTAGGCCGCAGCAGCAGGTGTGGCCCCGGGGCCCCTTAATGCCTGTCAGAGGTTTGTTGTGTTTTTTTTGTTTGTTTTTTTTTGGGGGGGGGCCTGCCACGGGAAACCTGCCTGGTGGTTAAACTCCCAAGGCTGCTTTTTATACTTGGCCCAGGATCCACGTTGCAGTGGCCAGACATTCATCCATTAGGGAAGACTTTGAAATCAGTTGCTTTTGTTTTGTTTTGGTTTTGTTTTGTTTTGTTTTGTTTCTTCACAAAGCAAGCACTGCCTGCTTTTCAGGAACTTTCCCTCTTCTCATTTTTAAAGGCCCTTGGAATAAAGCGCTGAGGAATGGGGACCTGGACTTGGCAGGTGTCAAATGACTAGGGATTGGCAAACTTCTCTCTTTTTTTAAAAAAATATATTTTATTGATTTTTTTACAGAGAGGAAGAGAGAGGAATAGAGAGCTAGAAACATCAATGAGAGAGAAACATAGACCAGCTGTCTATTGTACACCCCCTACTGGGCTTGTGCCTGCAACCAAGGTACATGCCCGTGACTGAAATCAAACCCGGGACCCTTCAGTCCACAGACCGACGCTCTACCACTGAGTCAAACCGGTTTCAGCGGCAAACTTTTCTAGAAAGGCCCAGGTAGTAAAGATTTTAGGGTTTATGGGACATGGGACCTCAGGTTGCTGTGGCAACAACTCAACCCTGCCATTGTAGATACCGTAAGAACATGTAAAGGAGTGGGCGTGGCTGTGTGCCAATAAAACTTTATTGACAAAATCAGTCAGGGGGCCAGATTTGGCCCGTGAGCTGAAGCTGGCCGGTCCTGTGTTAGACCAGGGCCATTCTTTCTGTGGTATGGTGTGGGCTATGTGTGAACAGGTTTCCCCGGCCTGTGTCACTGGCTTTCTCTCCCCATTTTACACGGAAGGTAGCAGAGGCCACAGACTGAGCACCTGGCCCAGGATCAGCCTGTGGGTGGGTGAAAAGGCTACCCTGACCTTTAGCCAGGTGTCCTTCCTGGTATCGTGCCCCACATTACCCATGGAGGATGTATGAGAGGACCTTAACACGCAAAGACAGCCATGCAGAGGTCTTGTTGCGGGTGCTTAAACGCGGCGTGGCTCTGGAAAGCAGTCCACTTGGTAATTCGAGAGGCCGCCTCGGGTACATGATGGCAGTCTATCAGGGATATTAGTGATGAAAGGAGTCCAAGGCTCGTGAGTATAAAGGGGGCCTAAGACACAGTCCAAGCCTCAGTTAAGCAGACTGATTTGGTGCAGACTGATTTGGTCCCGTCTTGTCCTGCAGATTTCAGGGTTGAAAGCAGAGTCCCAGGCCAGGTTCTCTCTGACTATTCTTTCCTTCCACAGGGAGCCTTCGGTCCCTGGGAGCTCCTGTCCAGCAGCTGTTGCCGTGGCAACACAAACCTGGACGTGGTTCCTAACATGACGTTAGGTTTGGCTCAGAAGGTGGGCGTGTGCTGGCCTCCACACCTCTCACTGCTTTTCTTCCTTCACCTGCAGAAAGCCACCATCAGCCACGTCTCACCCGACAGCCTCTACCTGTTCCGCGTCCAGGCCGTGTGCCGGAACGACATGCGCAGCGACTTCAGCCAGACGATGCTCTTCCAAGGTAAGGCCGGCTCCCTGAGCCTGCCCCTGGCGCTTGGTTTGTCCTGCTCCGGTGCTGGGCGGCAGAACACAAGCCGGGCCCAGGAATCCGTAGGGCTTTAAGTCCCACCTTCTAGAGCAGTGTTTCCCAAAGTGTGGTTCGCGTAACCCCGGGGGTGCGGGAAGAGTTTGGTGGGGATATGCATTGCACTGGAGTTTGGTAGGGATATGCACTGCACCGTGCTTAGCTGCGCCTAATTCTACACTCTCATGAGTAAGAGGGGTACTCAGCGTTATGAAAATTATAGAAGGGGTGCACATATGTCAAAAGTTTGGGAAACACTGTTCTAGAGCTTCACAAGCCTGAGGGGAGGAAGTAGAGCTAAGCGGTGATTTTTACTGTCCTGGTGTATCTGGCCGTGTCAGGTCACAGAATCCCTTCTGGATCTAGCGTGGCCCTAGAAGCAGAGCCCAGACACACACCACTCACCTTCCAGCTGGCTAGTTGTTCCTGTGGGTTTGGGGGACTGGCAGGAAGTTCTAGGGCCAGGGCTGGGGTGAGGCAAGGGAGGCATTCACCGAGGTGCAAAATTGAAAGGGCTGCAAAAAACGCTGTAATTAAAACACATGATATTTTAATGGAGTTTTTTTTTTTAAAGCAAAATTCATGTTGAAAAAATTCATGAGCAACATACCAGAATTTGATGTTAGACCCTCACACCTCCCACAGGATCCACTCTGACTGACTCGCCCTAACCCAGTTATTTTCAACCCGTGTGCTAGGAGAGATCTTAAAAGTGCAATACCTGAGCAATGAGTCAGGGGCACTGACCTCCTTTCCCTTACATTGTCAAATAAAAAAGATGAAAACAGCCAACACAACCATGGCCATCCTGTGTGAATGAATCAAAGTTACACCTATTTTTTTTTTTGTCAGATTGGCAAAAATGTATTTTTTGATGGGCTGCAAAATGTTAGTAATTAGCTGTGTGTGCCAGGAGATGAAAAAGGTGGACATTCACTGCCCTAACCCCATTCCAGTCCTAGTTCCAACAAAACTTTATTTACAAAACCGGCTGCCAGCCTGTGGGCCATGGTTGTGGACTTGGTTTGCGATGTGGGCTTAGGCCAGCGTGGAGGGACCAGGGCATGGGTTTCTCTTGGCCAGACCGAGTTCCTCCCCATGAGGCCCTCCTCTTGGGTCCTCCCTTTCAGGGAATCCTCCTACCAGGCCAGTGGTCCTTCACCGTTTTAAGTCCTGTATCTGGTGAAGGCTTTTCCCTGGAAAATGCCAACTCTGAGCATTTTCTGGGGCCCTGGAAAGCCTGTAGGACCGGCCTCAGAGTTGGCTGAAGCTGTGAGAAATGCCCCTTCGGGACCCTCCTGGATCAGTCCCCTCGGCATTTCTGGGGGGAGTGGGGGTTGTCTGAGTCCTAACCAGACGTCTGAGTGACTGGCAGGCACACTGAAGATGGAAGAACTGGGGCCCTGGAGGGAGGGCCCCAAGTTTGAGTTCCAGCTACACTTTGTATTTCTGCAATTCTGAGCATGTTTAGTAGCTTTTCTAAGCTTTAGTTCCACAGTCCAGCACGTGGTTGTGTTAATAGTACTGACCTCACAGCATCCTTCCGGAATGCCATGGCTGATGGTTGTTAAGTAGTTTGCATAGTGTCTCTGGTACCAACTATAAATATCCCCTTACACCCAGCCTAGATGCCCTCCATGGATCCCTTCCAGCCTTACAATCTTGCATTTAGTATTTAAATGTTCTTTGCTAAGGTTCACATTATCTCATCCTTCTGTTTAAACTAATTGAAGTTAGCATGCTATATTTTCTCACAAATAACTCAAGCTCGCGTGTCCACCTGGACTCTGAACACTGGCCCCTTGCCTGTGCTGAGGAGGGAGCTCATGCCATGACCAGACCTGTTCTGGCCCTGGGGACAGAGAGCAAGCCAGAGTGGGTGCCTGCTACGGGCTGGGCGAGAACCTTGGACACACACATCATGATCGAGTTGCATGCATCTGAATGTGGTCTCTGTGGGCTCCAGCTGGGCACTGGGATTCACAGAGCTGCCTTTCCTAACTAATAGGCCCCCTGAGCTTGCTGGCTTCTGTGTGGACTTTGAAAAATCAAGTGTTTGTAATCTACGTTGATAAAAGAGAAATATGCAAGTTGGCTGTACCTCCGCGACACCCACCAGCCATTCAGGAGTGACTATGCAAATTAACCCAACAAAGATGGCTCCAGTTCTGGAAGGTGCTAGAGCAGTCAGACTTCCGGAAACAGGGTAGAATGGGCGTTTCTGGGCTCTGGGGTGGGGAGACCGGGATGTTTCATGAGGGCAGAGTTTTAGGTTTACAAGATGAGAAGTCTACACAGCAATGTGGACCTACTTAATGCTACTGAACTGGGCACCCCAAGGGGGTTAAGGTGGTAAGTTTTGTGTTATGGTAAAGTTATCATGTTATATTGTTCAATAATAGTCACACATGGGCGAACAGAACTTCAGGAAGGAACGAACACCAGGGAGAATAATGTGTGGTTAGTATAAAATAATTTGACCTCTTAAAGCAACAACGGGTTTTAAAACTTACATGGAAATAAAATATGTGACAATACACAAAACGTGAGGTAGGCCAATGTAGTTTAAAAATTGTATATTTCTGCCAAAACCGGTTTGGCTCAGTGGATAGAGCGTCGGCCTGCAGACTGGAAGGTCCCAGGTTCGATTCTGGTCAAGAGCATGTACCTTGGTTGCGGGCACATCCCCAGTGGGGGATGTGCAGGAGGCAGCTGATTGATGATTCTCTCTCATCAATGTTTCTAACTCTCTATCCCTCTCTCTTCCTCTCTGTAAAAAAAATCAATAAAATATATTTTTTTAAAATTGTATATTTCTTCCATTCTTAAGAGGTAATAAAAGTGCTCATTTAAGGTAAACTATAATAAATTTAGGATGTTTATTGCAGTCACTGAAAGGATCGTGTAAGAAATTATAAACAAAAAACAGAGAGGACCAATGAAGTAATGATCCCACTTCTATGACATTCAAAACGGGAATTCTGACCGAGGTCAGAGTATGGGTGCCTTTGGGAAAGGGGGTGGGTGTTGATGGGTGGGGCACAGGCAGACCGGTTGGGTGGGGGTCATGCCTGTACTCAGTGTGGGTGTAGGCACACAGGTGTTTACAGGGTAAACATTAATTGGACTATACACTTAAGACGTGTACATTTTTCTCTATGAAGCTTTACCTCAGTAAGTCAGAAATCAGTAACAAATTTAAAAAATGTTAAACTAATAGCTTAAGACAAGATTCAGCAAATTATGGCCCAAGGTCAAATGCAGCCCTCTGGGTGTTTTTTTAATGACTCAGAGTCTGAGAAGGGTTTGTCTTTCTTAAGTTGTTGGGAGAAAAATTTAAAAAGGAATGATATGTCATTCCATGTAAATTATATGTAATTCACATTTATGTCTGTAAGTAAGGGTTGTTGGTTTTTTTGTTTGTTTGTGTTTTTTTGAACCAAAAATTTATGGTTTACAATGTTATTTCTTTGTTTCTCAGCTAATACCACTCGAATATTCCAAGGGACCAGAATTGTGAAAACAGGAGTGGTAAGTAGAGAATGTTTTGTAAGTAGTTAATGTTTTGTCCTGCTTGTTAATTTGCATGCAGTTGAAACTGTTACCACGAGATGGCAGTGTGATATTGTGAAACTGCTTAACAGGAAAAAGTTAAGAAACAGAAAAACTTACATTTTTCACTGTTTATAATTCAATGCATTAAAAAAAACAAGCTGTGCAGCAGAATTAAAGCAGTAATATTATACAGTATAATTTTTGTCAAAATGGGTTGACAAATAATTTTTAATTCTTTATTATCTGTAGGGTCATAGGATGTGGGATTGCACAGGTCTGCTCCACGCCCTTGGTTGGACAGACGCTGAAATTCCCAGAGGTTGTCATTTGCCCAGTTATGTGGATTTTCAAATTTCCAGAGCCTCGATCAACATCTAAGTTTTCCCATTTCTAGTGCAACTAATAATCATAGCAGTGATCACATTGTTGATGATAACAACCATAGCCTAATGTTGACTACGCATTTCCTGGGTTTCAAGCACAGGTTATTTCATTATTTTATTTACTCCTCACGGCCTCCCACAGATTGGTGTTACCATTATTCCCCAATTATGGTTCAGGAAACAGAGGCTCAGAGCGCACTAGGGGTCTTTGCTCAGCCTGGACTGCCTGACTTCATGGACTGAGTGCCCCATTGTGTGTGGCATCGGGCATTTCATTAACCAACTTAAGAACTCCAAATCTGCTAACTTGGTCCTCTTTAAATTACAAAGTTTTCTAATTAAAACCTCGTGGTAAAACGGTGAGATCTAAGGTGTCCTGGCCATACTGTTTTGAACGGATTTCTGGCTGTCAGAACCGACCGTAAGCTCAGCTCTCAGCAGCCTGGCTGAGCACCAGGTTAGCACGGCAGGGAGCGTGAGCTGCGGTTCGGACACAAGCTGCCCTGGACCTCTCTGTGCCTCAGTTTCCTCCTCTGTAAAACGGAGTGATGACCATCCCGGATGGATAGTGTGGGAAGCCCTGGCACATTGCTGGCAGCTGTTAAATGGAGCAGTGATTGTTGTCCTGGATAGGCCCAGAGGCTCTGAAGGGTGCAGGACGTGGGGTGTGGGCTGTGAAGAGGTCCCAGGCCTGCAGGCTGGCCCCGCCCCGCGGGCATGGAGGGGACACTGCCCTGTCCCTCTGCTTCCTCCCTGTCAGGTGGCGGGACCAGATCCCAGAGGGGGGTCTTGTCCACAGGCGCCAGAGACATAAGAAAGCGAGGCCTCCCGCCCCATCCAGGGCCACCCAAGAGCTGCTGACCAGCTCGTGCTGCCATCTGACCGCTCATTTGATATCTGTCTTTCAGCCTGATCTAATGCTCCTCACTTTTGGGCACCTAGCTCCTCCTTGCTCTGTGAGAGAGGGACTGCAAACCATTAGAGCAGAGGTGGCCACGGTGCTCACCTGCGTCAGCTTTGGCGCCGAGCCTTGGGGAAGCCCACGAGTGAAATAAAAACCCGTAAAACCCTCTGCAAGTCATAACCAGATCCTCCCTCCCAACCTAGTGACTGACGCTTCTCTGCTTTCTCTTCTTCCTCCCTCTCCCGCCCCCTGGTGGCCCTTTCAAGCCCACAGCGTCTCCCGCCTCTTCGGCCGACATGGCCCCCATCAGCTCGGGGTCTTCGACCTGGACATCCTCAGGCATCCCCTTCTCCTTCGTTTCCATGGCGACGGGGATGGGCCCATCCTCCAGCGGCAGCCAGGCGACGGTGGCCTCCGTGGTCACCAGCACGCTCCTGGCCGGCCTGGGCTTCGGCGGCGGCGGCATCTCCTCCTTCCCCAGCACCGTGTGGCCCACGCGGCTCCCCACGGCCGCAGCGGCCAGCAAGCAGGCCGGCAGGCCGGTCCTGGCCACCACCGAGGCCGTGGCCTCTCCGGCCCCGGACGGCGACTCGGCCCCGAGCAAGGACGGCGAGGGCGCCGAGGAAGGGACGAAGGACGAGAAGAGCGAGAGTGAGGACGGGGAGCGGGAGCACGAGGAGGAGGGGGAGAAGGACTCCGAGAAGAAGGAGAAGAGCGGGGTGACCCACGCCTCCCAGGGCCGGAGCCAGGCCGAGCCCACCCCCATGCCCTCGTCTCCCGGGAGAACTGCCCAGGACCGGGGGCGTCAGACTATACCCGGGCCCCAGCGAGACCACACTGCCGCCCCCACTGGCCAGCCCGACGACGCGAGGGGTGCCCGCCTGGACGCCGAGCCCGTCACCTCCACCCAAGTGCCCCCCACAGCCACCGAGGAGCCGTACAAAGGGCGTGATCGCAAGAGCCCTGAGCTGCCATCTAAAAAGCCTGTGTCCGCAGGGGACCGCTTTTCCGAGGACAGCAAGTTTATCACTGTCAACCCAGGTAGGTAGCATCTTCCTCTGGGCTCTGGGGAGTCTTGCCCTTTAAAAATAATTGGGTTAGGAGTGCAGATCCAGAACATGCCAGTGTTCCCGAATGCCCATGTCGAGGACGGAAGGTGTGTGTGTGTGTGTGTGTGTGTGTGTGTGTGTGTGTTTTATTCCAGTAAGACTAACCTGCTTCTTCACTGTTGCTGGAGTAAGTCTTGCCTTGATCTCTGTTCCTGGTAAAATCTCCTTTCCTCTGAGTAACTCCGAGGATTTCAGCTGCGCGAGGAAGTCAGTGACTAAAGATGACATCAGTATTAAATGTATCCATTAAGATTTAATTCCTTAATCGCTTATTCAGCCTGTGATGACGGACTGCCTGCTTGGTGGCAGACACGGGGCCGGCTGCTAACCCCGGGGAGCCTAGCCCCACCCCGTGAAGTCCACGGTGCAGAAGGGGAGACGGAGGTGCAGCAGGTAGCTGGGTGCACGCCTGGAAGCAGGAGGCAGGAGGGTGGAGACCAAGAAAGGCGGCTGAGGGTGGAGGCGGTGAGGTGGGAGCAGAGGGAAGAGGGCTGTGGGAGAGGACAGTGAGCAGGGCAGGGACCATGAGGAAGTGGCATTCACATGGAACCTAACGGATGAGAGGCTCACGTGGGGAGAGCTGGTACCCACGGTCCCACCCCGAGAAACAGGGCTCTCCACCCAGAGCCCAGGGTCCAGGGGGTGAGGCCAGGGCGTGGCCGGTCAGGCCTCCCCGTGAGGATGAGATCTGTCACCCTGACCGGTGGCGGTTTTGCTTTGTCACGTGTTCAGATGTTAATGAACCCTCTGGGGACGGGCGTCTCTGAGGAAGCTTGAGCATCAGGGGCTGTTATTGTTGTGAGGTGTTTTCTTAATAAGAAGCCCTTCCTTTTGCCAGACTACAAGATGTTTAACAATTTTTTGCATCGAAGCTGTTTGGAAGTTATAAGAACACACACACACACACACAAAAAGCAACTGGTAAATATTTATTTGCTTTTGCACTTGTAAACATTAAAATTCATCTAAAGCTGAGATCTCGTATGTTAAGATACAACTTAGAATAAATTTTCATGTGTTGAATTGCGTGCTCTGGGGAGCGGGGCTGGCTGGCCTCCTTTCTGAAAGCGGCTTCCCGTGGGGGCCCGCAGTGAGTCCCGGTGTAGGGGACGGTGTAGGGACGGAGCCGAGCAGCTCATGCAGAAGGGAGTGCAGGCAAGACCAGGCCGCGCGTGAGGCTGTTTGAAGCCGATCCTACACGATCGGTGACATTCCCTCTAGGCCTCGCTGCGAAGAAGCCGAATTTCTTAGACTGGGAGATATGATGGAAGTATTTACGGAGTACCCCATGTGTACCAGGCCCTAAATTAGGCCTTGGGAACAGAACACAGGTCAAAAACGGGCCTCTGCTCCTCTGGGGCTCAGGTCCTGGCTGGGGAGAGTGAATATTCCAGTAAACAAGCACACAACTCCACAGAGTGGTAGGTGCCGGCGTGGGCATGGCGGCCGTGGGTGGAGCCTCGCGTGGTGAAGGAGTGGCGTTTGAGCAGAGACCCCGTGATGAGAAGGAGCTGGCCATGCAGAGATCCATGTGGGAACCTTCCACTGCTACTCGGAGCAGTCGGGGAGCCGTCAGAAGGCCAGTGTGGCCGCCAGTCAGGAGGGGGGTATGGGAAGGCTCAGAGCGGGAAAGGGCTCGGCAGCCAGGCTGAGGACGGGACGCTAAGGGATGGAGAAGTAGCGGTGGATTTCCGTAGAAGACAGTCACCTGTGAGCTTTTGGGGGAGGTGACTCAGGCCTCTGTGCGGAGATTATACGGGAGCGGGTGTCGCGCAAGAGTGGACACTGGAATCCCTGTTTGGAGGTGACGGTGAGGGGTGTGGTGATGGCGATGGTGGCTGGCCAGCGTGGTTCTCCGAAGACAAGTGGTGGCCCTGGAACAGATGCTCGAGCTTAGGCAGTTCAGGCTCTGCACGGAGGGCTGGCAGAGCATGGTCTGCATTTCACAGGCGTCCTGGACCTTCGGGGGCATGGGAAGACGGGTCCCTAGGGAGCCGGCATTGAACACGACATCCAAGCACTCTCCTCCGTCCCCAGCACTGCAGCTCAGCGCCTCCCTGGACACCCTGGTTGTAGTGGGAAGGTTCGCTGTTTCCTAAACTGCTTCTAATTCTATGGCAATTAGAATTCCAGGCAATTCAGGTTTCAGAGTGGGGTGGTGATTGCATAAGCCAGAGGCCGGCCAACTTTTCCTGCCCAGGCCAGACAGTGACATTTCCGGGTCTGTGGACCGTGGGTCTGTGTTGCGCCTACTCCACGCCACCGTGGCGCCCAGAGGAAACCAAACAGCACTGAGCAGGGGCGATCAGTTCCACCCAAACTGCTCACAAAAACAGGCGGCCGGCGGGTTTGATCTGGGAGCCGTCCATGGCTGACCGACTCCCCCCTCCTCATTTAAGTAGCCAAGTCTGCGCCTGTTTGTCAGGAAAGGATGTAAGCTGAGGGTAAAACCCACAAATCGCATTCAGTTCGCTTCCATCCATCCCACCCTTTCCCCTGTCTGCCTCCTCGGACTGGGTATTTATTTTTAAACTGAGATCACTGTCATTCTTATCTTAGTTGTGACTTACTTTAAAGACCTTTTGCAAGGACATTTTTAAAAATCTCTTCCACGTGTTTTTCTTCACATTAAGTAAAAAACAACTATGCGATCAATATTTACTAGGTGGGGGGAAAAAGTGTTAACATTTAAAGTTACAAACTATGTTTTTACCAGAGTCTTGTTTAAATTCCCTGGATGTTTGGTAACATCTTTTCAAGGCCTGTGAGGAGGAGTAGCTTTAGTATATTAATTCACAAGGAAAGGGAGGAAGAGGAGTTTTTCTGTTGATGAAATGGCACAAACTTGGGCACCTGCAGAAATCAGACAGGTGATGTCCGTGAGAGAAGAGGGCTGGGTGCTAGGCATTAGGGAGTGGTGAGGACTGCGGCAAAGCAGACGGCACATTGTCCTTCCTACAGAGGGCCACCTCGCTCAGCTCCAGCCGGGTGTCGCCAGTGGGAATGCCTGGTGGGCCAGAAACCCAGTTCTTTGTGCAGCATCTCCCAGTTTTTCAGTGAGTTCAAACCATTTCATTTTTGTCTTATTATTTCCCCCTTCATATGTGCCAACAGGAGGAACCGGGTTCTTGGCTGTAGCGTTGATTGCTATAGTTGCACCTGCCCTAGAAGCTGATCAGACGGGTTGGAGGCCTCCATGCAGTCTCTCTGCCTCTCACCAAGTGTTTTGTCAGCATCTATTTAGTGCGAGGCCTTCAGCGAGATGTGTGCTGCGTGGGAATCCAACATGGCCCCTCTGTCCGCAGCCACAGCCTGAATGTGGCAGACACCCCCCCAAAATTCACTAGGCATGGGCAAACGTTCTTGGGTCGGGCTGGGGTGCCTTGCAGGAGCCGTCACACACACACCAACTTAGTGCCAGGGTTTCCTTTCTGTCTCCACAAATCAAGGAAACCTTTTTTCCAGACGGAATCCTGCCCCAGTTTCAACACCCCCTCCCTGAAAGCTCCCCCGGGCCACCCCGGAGCCAGTGCTGAAGGAGGGGGCCGGCTCAGGGGTCAGCAAAGTCTCCAGGCCACACCTAGCCCCTGGGAGATGTTGTCTGGCTCAGGAGCTAAGACCGGACAGAGCTGGTCAGAGCCTGAGGCTGCTGTGCTGCTCTCAGCCCCAGCGGGGGGGCACTGAGCCCCAGCCACCCCTGTGCTCCGCTGGGCAAAGCCTGGGTACCTCTGGCATTCTCCCGCTCTGGGGAACCCTCCTGAGAACCTCTGATTATGGAAACAATGGCACCCCAGGTAGCCCTTCTTCTGGGCTGTGCCATTTACCCTACAGCGCCCCCACAAGGGCTGTGTGGCGTTGCTGCCCTTGGGCCAGTGAGGAAACCGAGGCCCGGGGGCTAAGGAAGGTGCCCTGGACCACAGCCCGTGGCAGGCGGGGCTCACACAGGCCGAGTCCAGGGGTCATTTGGGGAGGCTGCATGGACTCCTTCCACTGCTTCAGGCTTTTCCCCGAGGGGCCAGCACGGGCCCATTGCAGATGAAATGCTCGTTACTCAGTGAACATCTGAATGTGTGCTTCACAAAAGGAGTTATGGCAGAGGTTCCCAACCATCTATGACGCCCCCCCCCCCGCCCGCCCCCTCAGGACATGTGGCAACATCTGGGAACGTTTTGGGGGTCCCCAAGGGAGGGGCGGCTGTACCCTACAGTGTGCAGGGCAGTCCCCATGGCACAGACTTCCTCGTCTGGAGTGTCTGCAGGGCCGCGGTGGAGAGCCTGACTCACAGGCCTAACAGAAAGTTTCCTCTGCCGAGAAGCTGATGGGGGAAAACAAGCGTCGTCCATGCAAGGCCGAAGACAAGTGGTGGTCCAGGTCCCTGGAGAGAGGGGGGAAACCAACAACCTCCCTTACCTAACCCCGCAGACCCTTAGTGATCACCCCGGGAGATGTTTCAGCTGGGCCAGTGCTGTTGGCCAGCTCCCTTTGGGGAAGATGCTTCCTGGGAGCACGAGCAGGAGCCAGCCTGGCGTGTTTGGGGGGCCACTCGGGGCCAGTGTGGCTCAGTTTCCTCCCAGTTCCCACCCCTGCTGGGGGCAGATTGCATGTCTTCACTGTGTGGGAACCCAGGCGAGTGCAGAGCGCGGGGTCTCGGGGCGCAGCCAGGAGCGCGGGGTGAGGGGTGTTTGACCTGCAGCGTTGGCACGCAGTTCTCATCAGTCTGATGGCAGAGCATCTGCATCTGCGCCCGGGTGGGTCGGGACCAGCCTGGAAGTTACCGGACACCCTCGTTTTGCAGCACCTCGTCAAGTAGACATGCCGGACTACGGTTGATTGGCTGAGTGTGATGGAGTGGCCCCGTGGGATGTCAGGAGCGGGGTTCACGAGGACTCCGGAGAGGGTGGGGATGGGAACATGGGGCTCTGATCCCGCTCGGGTGATGGGACCCTGGAACCAGGGCCCTGTCGCAGGGTGAGGGTGTGTGTATTCGTCCCTGACAGTCATGTCTCTGCAGCAGTGGCTTAGTGAATGTCAGGGCCCGAGAGTATAATCCAGACAAAGGCCACGGCCCCTGAAAGAAGCGGCCGCTTTTTAAACCCCTCTCTCCCCCACCCCCACCAGTCATGGGGCTGCTATCAAAACGCAAAAACGGAAAGTAACACGTCTGGTGAGCACGTTGAGGATTGGAGCCCCGTGCGCTGTCGGCAGGGATGTGGGTGGTGCAGTCACTGTGGGAAACAGCGTGGTGGTTCCTCAAATAATCAACACGAGAGCCACCTGCGATCCGACTTCAGGGCGTCCACCCACCCAAAAGGATGGCAGGCGGGTCCTGGAGAGACACGGGTGCTCCTAGCGGCAGTCTTTACCTTGCCAGCGAGTAGAAGCAACCCAGACGCCCCCCACCGGAAGGATGAGCGGATAGACACAGTGTGGGACGTATGTCTCATCATTAGATTCTAATGGATGTTGCCCTGCCTTAAAAAAGCACATGCTGTGTACAGTGTGAGTGAGCCGTGAGGAAATCACGCTGACACGAGCCGGTCACAGAAAGACAAGTCCATGCGATTCCACTTCCCCGAGGTGCCCAGAGCAGTCCGTCGCAGGGACGGGAAGTAGCGTGGTGGCTGGGGCAGGAGTGGGGGGCAGATAATGGGGACAGTTTTGCAGATTAAAATAGATTCTGGTTGCACAGCAGCGTGGACATACACCACACCAAGAAGCTGGCCTCTTAGAAAGGGTTCAAATGGCAGCTTGTGTGTTTTTACCACAGTTTTTGTGAAAAGTAGCCGCTGTAATTCATGAAAGAGGGTGGTTTTTCACTCAGACAAATGCCGTCTAGTTGCCCGCCAAGCTGCACATGGGCAGCTTGTCCAGCTCTGGCTCTTTCTGGAAAATGGGAGGAACCCTGCATCCCGCACTGGGTCAGTGGGTCATGGCCCGCAGGCACCATGCTCTGTTAGTCCTGCCCACGTCGGGCTGCTGTCCTGCCCGGGAGCCGCCCTCCCCGCGGCGCGGGCAGCGAGTCAGGGGGTCCATCTGACGCCCCGCCCGCAGCACCCCCGGTGCCGTGCACTCGCTTTCATGCGCTGCGACTGGGCCGGGAGCCAAGCCAGGAAAAGGCAAGCAGCATTAATTCAGCGATGACATATGCCACTGAAAACTGTTTTTCTTTTCTTTTTTTTAAAGTTTTTTTAAAAGGCAGAGTGCAGGCACTTGACTGGGTTCTGAAATGGAACCTGGAGGAAGGAAGCTGTCTGGACGGGGCGGGGAGGGGGCGGTCTCTTACCTCCCCCTGCAGGTGCTCTCGGTGGGGAGTCCCGGCCCCACTGGCCCAGCAGCAGCCCTTATCTGCACCCCGCAGAGATGTGCACCCCACAGAGATGTCCCTGTGAAGGGACTGAGATGTGCACCCCACAGAGAGAGATGTCCCTGTGAAGGGACTGTTTGGGCCGAGAGCCCTTTTCAGTGGGAAGATGAGTAGGACGTGGGGTTTGCATTCGGCCCCCTGCCCACCGTCTACCCTGCAGTGTACAGAGCTGGAGAGGAGATGTGACCCTGGGGGTCCCTCAGGGAAGCAAGGCCCTCCCGGGTGGAATCTGAGGTCACTGGAGGCATGGCCTATAGCGTCAGCGTCAGCGTCAGCCTCCTGCTCTATTTTCCTTGTGCGGGAGCTCCGGTCTTGCCCATCTGTCTGGCTCCCCCTGCTGGGGCCCCGCGAATTCTTCCATCTGCAGCTGATTCCCTGGCGCCTCCCCAGAGCTTTGCTATGAGAGGGTTCCCAGAGGGAGAGTGGATGCTTCCATTGCCCTGGGACTGACCCTGTTCTTAATTCAGCCAGCAAAGCCCTGGCAGGCGTGGCCTCCGGTTCTCAGCTGGCCCCCTTTCCTCGTTCTCATACGCCCACCCCTTTAGTTCTCTGTCTGCACCCCGTCCCTCCCGTTCCTCCCACCCTTGGCCTGGCTCACCCCCAGATCTCATCCTCATGTCAGGGAGCCCCTCCAGAGTCCCTGGGCTGGAGCAGCTGTTCCCCCTTCTCTTTATTCTAATTGTTCGCTCCTGTGTCTGCTCCTCCCCCTTTAAATGATTTGCCCCCCCCCCCCATCCCCCGGTCTTTCTGCTGCTTCCACAGCCCCGAGCACCAGGCCCTGCACACAGTAGGGCTTGGCAAATACAGGCCGGACTCTTTTTGTGCGATTCCCTTCGTAGCTCTCCAAGGTTACCGTGTTTTTTACAAATTGAAAGCAAGACTCTCCGCCAGCAGGAAGACTGCCACTCGCTTTATTGTGATGCTCCCTTAGTCTGGGGGTCTGCCTGCGAGGTGTGCCTGCAGCTGCCTAGCAAAACGTGTGCAGCTGTGGGTGCGGAGGAGCGGCCGCCCCCCTAGGAAGGCAGGTAGGAGCGTGGCGGGCTCTCTGTGGTTTCACTGGGTGTGCCCACCTGCCCGGCCTCCTCCCCGGGAGCCGGGCAGACATGGGCGCTGCCTGCGCACAGGGCCCCGCAGGAGAGGAGGGAGGGGACCCAGGCCGGCTGCGCTCCAGGGAACCGGTGGAGGCTGTGTCTCACTCCCGTACCCCGGAGCCTGGCCTCTAAAACTGTGCTCCCCAGGCCCCCGCCCCTCTCTGTGCCCACCTTCTCTCGCTCAGAAACTGGCCCGATGAGCCCTCCCTCCCGGCCGTCCTGCCAGGGACTCCGCTGGAGGAGGCTGGAGGCTGGCCTCGCTTTCCCAGCGCAGGGTCCTGGCCGAGCGCACACAGCCCCGGCGGCTCTGGGTGTGTCCAGCGGCTTCTCCGAGGTCACAGTTAACCTAAGGTGACCAGACGTCCCGCTTTTGGCGGGACAGTCCCGATTTTTAACAACGTGTCCCGTGTCGTTTTTAAAAAGTCTCGATTCTTTCCAAAAATTAGGAATTTTTAAAACACTGCGGGACGCAGGACAAATTGTTAAAAACCAGGACATCTGGTACCTTAAGTTAACCTTGCTTTCTCGCCACCCACCTCCCACCTTCGCCTCTGCTCCCTGCGCTCCCCCAGCCCCGCACCACACCTGCGCTCCATTCGGGCCACCTGGGGGCTGCCAGGCTCCTGCCCACGCCACACGAGAGCCGGCTCTCCCCGGGGCTCCGGCTCTCCCCCGGGGCTCCGGCTCTCCCCGAGGCTCCGGCTCTCCTCCCCGCGGCTCCGGCTCTCCCCGGGGCTCCTCTCCCCGCGGCTCCGGCTCTCCCCGGGGCTCCGGCTCTCCCCCGGGGCTCCGGCTCTCCCCCGGGGCTCCGGCTCTCCCCGCGGCTCCGGCTCTCCCCAAGGCTCCTGGGCCCGAGACAGGCAGGCGCTGCCAGGTCAGAGCAGGCTCGCCCCCCTGTGAAGCCCTCGCTGGCTACTGCTCCGAGGCGGGCTTGCTGGGCAGCGTGGGCAGGGCGTCCTCCAGGTCAGAGCTTGCGGGAGCTTGGGGGAGGGGGATGCAATCAAAGGCAGAGCTGGAGAAGCTGGATTGAGCAGAGACGGGAGCTTCAGGGCTCTGGGTGCTGAGGACTGAAGGCCACCGGGGTGGGGGCTCCTGCTGGGCTGGGTGCTGCGCAGACCCCGAGGCTGAGGTCCCAGGGCGGGAGCACTTTGTCATCACTGCAGCCACATGCGCCTCGGTGGGGACACTGGGGGCCTCTCCCTGACTGTTAGGGTAAGGTGACCAGACGTCCCGCTTTTTAACAATTCGTCCCGCGTCCTGCGGCGTTTTAAAAAAGTCCCGATTTTTGGCAAATTGTTGAAAATCTGGTCACCTTAAGTTAGGGAGAAGCTGCTCCCCAATGCAGAATTGGGGTGTTCTTATAGGGGAAGGGTGATGGCTGCTGAGCTCCCAGAGAATATTGATAACCATTGTCTTCAAAGCCGGCTCAGGCAGCAAAGCCGCCCTGCCATTTCTCCTGCCCGGGGCGCCGGCCCCTCCAGAGGCGAGGGTGGTGCTGCCTGCAGGCTCCACGCCGCCTCGGGGTCCAGGCCGCTCTGGCTCAGCCACGTGCTTGCAGCCAAGTGGGGTGCCCTTCCCCACAGCTCCCTTTACCACCACCTTGAACTCTACCTGCAAACCCATCCCGCCTGTGGTGCAGGTGCCGCCTGCAGGAAGTGTGGGTGGGCTCAGTAGGACGTGGTGTGGGCTGCATGCAGGTGCCCCTCCTGTGGGAGCCCAGGCCTGTGTGGGCACCCGCCCCGGAGCAGAACGCGGCCGCACTGGCGCCCCCCTCTGCCGGCCCGTCCTCTAACTGGCACGGTCTCTCTCCGCAGCAGAAAAGAACACCTCGGGGATGATAAGCCGGCCTTCCCCGGGGAGGATGGAGTGGATCATCCCCCTGATTGTGGTGTCCGCCTTGACCTTCGTGTGCCTCATCCTGCTCATCGCCGTGCTGGTGTACTGGAGGTGAGTGAGCCGGGCAGCACGTGTGTGTGTGTAAGGGGGGCGGGGGTAGGGGGCGGTTTCTGCTGGAAGCAGCTGCCCTGGGGGTTAGGAAGGAGCAGAAGCCCATGGCCCCTTCGCTCTGAAAGGAGAGGCAGCTGGAGAGCTGCTCCCCTCAACACCTGGGAGAGCAGCTTGTGGCAGGAGGAAGCCAGTGAGAGCCGCTCTGAGGTCAGCACTTAGCGGGAACTTCTGGGATTTGGTGCCCAAGGGGCTGTGCGTGGGAACCAGGGGGGTGCAGGCCATGCTCCTTGCTGATGCTCCGGTCCCCACGGGGAGCTTTCGTGTCTAACCCGCCACACGAGCTAATAAGCTCCATGGCGCTTCCGGTTCCTCTGAGGCCGTGACTGACTGTCACGCTCACATAAGAACTCTGCACCTTGATTTTCCTGTAGCTCGTTGCTGAAAATTGAGTGCTCGGGACACGTTGAGCATATTTTGTGGCTCTTAATGACGTGTGAGATAAAAATGGCTGGCGGTGAGCCATCCTTGTACCCCACTGTCCTGGCCCCGGTCTCCCTGCTTCCCTGGGGGAGCTGCTGGCAGCTTCCGCTTGGAAGGTGGGAGTTTCTCAGCTGCCCCCTCGGCCAGGTGAGGTGCAGCTGCAGCTGCAGGAGGAGGCGGCCCACGTGGTAGCCTGGCTGCTTTCACCGCTCAGGCCAGGTGGAGGCTCCTGCCCTTCATCTAACAGCTTTCTCAGTGAGGAGCAGGTGTTGTATCCCTTCCTCCCTTCTTCCCTCCCTCCCTTCCTCCCCTCCTTCCCCCCTTCATTCATCCACTGTGAGCCCCCCTGTGGGCCCCGGTGATAACAAACGAGCCAAACTAGACAAAGATCCCTGCTCTCGTGGAGCTTACATTCCAGGGAGGGAGACAGGCTAGACAGCACTACTGAGTGAAATCTGTGACACCCAAGATGGTGTTGCACTTGGTGGAGAAAACGCAATCCGGAAAGGGAGGGGCATGTGGGTCTCGGGGACGAGTGTTCAGAGCAGATAAGGGAGGGTGACTGGTGAGTGGCATTGGAGCAGAGACCTAAAGAAGGAGGGAAATGTGCTCCAAAGGGGACAAGTTCCAAGCAGGGGAACAGCCTGTGCAAAGGCCCTGAGGCAGGCACGTGCCTGGCACGTCCTGGGAAGAGCAAGGGGCCTCCTGCCACTCTCCCCGCACTCCCTGTGGTGGGAGAGGGTGCCAGGAAGAAAGAGTGGAGGGGAGTCAGGCCTTGTGGGCCATTGTAAACGCATTGCCTTTCACTCCGAGATGAGTAGGGTCTGGTACCCAAGAGTGTCGCCGTCTGGCCTCAGGATTCCTTGGGTGCTGTGTTGCGAAGAGACTGAGTTGGGCCAGGGCAGAGGTGAAGAGGCCAGCGAGGAGACCACCACACTGGTCCAAGAAGGAAGTGGTGGCGGCTTCGATGAGGGTCGCAGTGCAGGGGGTGGGAGCTGATTGAAGGTCAGCAGAAGCTGCTGGCAGACGATGGAGATCCTCAGTCAGCTCCCGGTTGGGTAGAACAAGGGAACAGGAAGGGGGCATCTCGGGCTTTGCAGCGCCCAGCAGCAGCTCAGCACGGTTAATGCTATGGGCCAGCCAGGTTAGGGGTGACACTGGGTTTCGGGGTGAGCCTGGGAACACTCGGTTCACCTCTGGGTCATCCTCCAGAACAAAGCGGTTTGCAGACCAGCCTGGGGAGCCCGTTGGTGGACGGGAGGCTGCTGGCGCGGGTGTGACTGAGCCCGGGCAGTGGTGGCCGGTCTGCGGGGGCAGCTCTGCGCTCTGCCCTCTGCCGCGCCGCGTGGTTTCGCCCCAGACTCCCACGCAGGACGGAGAGCCCGCAGCTGCCACGGGCTGCTTGCCCCTCACTTAGCAGCCTCAGCATGAAACACTCATGGTCCAAGCTATGCTAGCCAAAACCTCGGGGTTGTTTCTGATTGGCCCGCCCTGGTCCTCGGCCCACCCCGGAGCACATCTCCGTGGCCGAGCAGACGAAACCAGGCTGCCCAGCGTGCATGCTAGCTGCGGGCTGCTCGTGGGAAGAGCTGTGAAGTGGACTGCAGAGAGGTTTTAGAGCCGTCCACTCAAGATGTGCTTTTCTCATTAGAAAGTGGCAACTGTTTGCATTTTGTTTTATATATAACACACACACACACACACACACACACACACACAACAGTGTTTGTACACTCAGAGCTTGGTTTCAAGGAACCAGAGCTTTAACATCATCTAATAGTCATGGCCTCTGAGCCTTTCCCAAATTCCTCAGATACACAAGTGAGTGTGAAGAACATTCTCAGGACGGGGAGCAGAGCTGAGCTGGCATTGGGCCGGCCGAGGGGCTCGGCGTGAGAACAGCCTGGGGGGACAGGGACCTGTTTCTGTCCCGTGTTGTGATTGATGTGAAGGAAGGGAGCGCTGGGGGCTCACCCAGAAAATAGGTAAACGCAGAGAGCCAGCCGGGTGCTTGCCCTGGGCGGTGCCGTTCGGAAGGGACGGTGACAGCGCGTCTCTTCGCCGTGGGAGGCCCCGTGAGAGCGGGTGACCGACCAACAGACTGGCCAGAGCAGAACCTCCTGGCGTGTCCTCGGTGGGCAGGCCTGGCACCTGGGCAGGCCTGGCACCCAAGGCCTGACCCTATGCAGCTCTTGTCCTGGTTCCTGAGTGCGCTGGCGTAGAGCTGTCAGCACTCAGTTTCACGGGGCCAGAGGAGAGGAAAACGAAACCCCGCGCTCCACACCACGATGGTGCTAGTGCCTGCGAGTGTCCCCCGAGCTCTCGGTTAGTGCCAGGCACTGAGCCACGCCTCTGGGTGGCACCATCTCGTATGGGCCTTCCCTCAGGCCTGTGTGGTGGGGACGGTGGCTGTCCCCCGTGCAGGGTGCAGTGGGTGCTGGGCGAAGCGCGGTGTGCGGGGTGCCCATCCCGCACGGTAGGATACGCTGACTTGGTAGCCATCCCGGAGAACAGCGGTGTGAGGGACAGCGGCGTGCACTCAAGCTGGGACCGCTGCGAAGGCGTCTGTAAGCCGATGGTCTGTTCTGTTGTCCTGAGAAGCATGCTGTGAGGGTCACGCTCTCTGGTCATAGTCTCACCCCTGGAGAGGATTTGCGTAGCTGAAGGCCTACCAGCCAGGACCCTTTTATTAGATGTTTGTCATACGAGGCACATGCTGAGCTGACTGCTTTCCTCCTGGTCCGCATTTATAATAGATTCTAGGGATTTTGGTCTCCACTGGGCAGGTCAGAACACAGGCTTGGTGACGTGCCCACATCAGAGGGCTGCTCTTGGTGGGTCCCGATCCGAAGCCAGCCAGTCCGACAGGAGGAAGCCCACCTTCCTCTTGACAGTGCTCTGCCTGGACGAGGAGCGGCCTGCCGAAGGTTTGGAATTTCTGGAAGAAAAGGTCAGAGGACCAGCTATATGTCCGGTGTTCTAGAAGCTGACAGCCGGGTGCCCGTGGGGGGTGGGCACTGTTCACACCCCTCTCGCTCACGGAATGCCTGGCCACGCGTGCCCCGTGGAGCACGGACCCGCCTGTATCCCAGGGTGGCCGCAGTGACCCGAGCTGCTGGGCCGGCCGGGGCACGCCCTCCGCCATCGCCGACCCTCAGTTCACTCGGGAGACGGGCTTAGGGCAGACACTTGCTCCCCTTCCCCCGGTGAAGCCACAGAAGAGACGAGTGCAGACGAGTGCAGCGGGAGGGGCTTCTCCGTGCAGGTGGCTGTGAACAGTCGGCCCAGGGGAAACGTCACAGCAACCCACAGGGCAGCAGTAACACAGAGCACAGGTCACGCACACACAAAGTAACACAAAATACACACACGCACATCAGGTCGTTTTCACAGCCAGGCGTGAGAGCCAGGGCGGCGGGACCGTGTCCCCTTCGTCCCCATAGAGCAGATCCCAGCGGGGACGTGGCGTGCCCAGGGTCCCGCGGCTGGTGTGCTTTGGAGGTGCCCACGTAAAGCTTTGTTGTGTTTGTTGACCTGAAGCCCTTCCCGGCTGCCCCAGGTATGCCTCGTTCAGAGACATTTCTCGGCCATCAGTCTGTGGCAGGCACTGGGGGTTCAGTGAGGAGGAGATGAGCAGGTAACGGGGGTTATCCCAAATGGGGGTGAGACTCTGGTGGCCTCTGAAGACCTGTTTTCTTTAGCTGGCATTGTCTTTAAAAGTCTGGACTGATTTAAAAACAGTTTACATAGAACCTCAGCTGTCTGGGTGTGATAAATGGGAGAGCTGGCAGCATTGTTCTCCCATCATGTGGCCCTTTTGCAGGCATCCCCTCTGTGGACAGTCTGCCTCCTCTCCCCCCACCCCCAACCCCACAAACACACACACACACACACACCTGGCCCAGCCTCCCTCTGTGGGTAGTTAAGGTCTCCAGTCGCCGTGGAGGGTGGTGACAACCAGAGACACTGCTCTGGGAGGGACTCTGGCCACCACCCGGGTGGGGTGAGGAGACCAAGCCAAGCAAGGCTTGGGGGAGGGAAGGCTTGGCTGTGACTTTCACAGCCCCAAGGACAAATGCTCTGGGCAGAGGGCACTGGCCGGAACTGACCAAGAGGCGCTCAGTCCTAGGTGTTCAGGGTGGTCGGAGAGAAAACACCCTCAAACTGCCCTCTCTCCGTGTGAAATGAAGTCCGGTCCTGGGCAGAACCAGGCCCTCTCCAGGGATCCCGCCTGCGCTGCCTCAGCCCCAGCGGCTCCTGGAGGGCGGGAATAGGAAACGGAAAGTAGACTCACCTGCAACTTTCCTCAGGTCTAGAGAAGTCCATGCTTTTAGAAATATTTTTTGTGGTTATGAATGATCACCTTTATCTTCTCTGCAGACAGACCGTTCACAGAACCACAGGTATTCCTGCACCATTTTTCCTGTGAAAGCTGGTGAGGGACCTGGCACCCCTCTCTTTAGGGAACCCCTCCTCCTGTGGCCACAGCTCAGTAATGTATTCATCATCAGGAGCAATTTTCATAATCCAGCTCTCCCAAACCTGACGGAGTGTGAAGGACAGCTAAGGTGCCTTCCTTCCATGATGTCAGGGCCTGGCTTGCCTATGGCCTGAGCTCAGCATGGTTACCCTGCCTTCCTCTGAGACCTGGCGGCTGGGGGCAGAGCCTGGGCTTCCCCGGCTGTGCCTGGAGGTGGGCACCTCCCTCTTCTTCCTCCCTCAGCGGTGCTGGGTAATCCGGGCCACGTGGCTGCTCATGCTGCCAATCCCGGCAACTTTTTGTTCAATAACCATCTCGGGGGCCTTTCAGATTTCAAGAGAACTGCTCGTTGCTATAGTAACCGGCCCCCTGCTGCCTCCCTGGCCCTGAGATACAGTCACAGCTCTGGGAGCCACCAGCACGTGGTCATTAGACAAAAGCAGGGAGGGAGTCGCCGTGACCACTGACCATTGTTTCCCAAACTTTTGACATATGTGTGCCCCTTCTATAATTTTCATAACGCTGAGTACCCCTCGTACTCATGAGAATGTACAATAGAATTAGGTGCAGCTAAGCACGGTGCAGTGCATATCCCCACCAAACTCCAGTGCAACGCGTACCCCCCCACCAAATTCTTCCCGTACGTACCCCTGGGGGTATGCGTACCACACTTTGGGAAACACTGATACACCTACTCACAGCGCTGACCGGAAGGCCTGGAGACTGACTGATCCTGGGCAGGAGACGTGGCTGGGCATGTGTTTACCCTGAGCTCTCTCTCCCGAAAAGGCAGGCCCGGTGCATGCTCTTGATGCGCAGAACCAACCCCTCTCCTGGGCTTTCTCAGAGAGAAGCTTCCTGCCTCCTGGGACTGGCTGTGTCTGCAGTCGGCTCGCTCAGGTAGCCCCCGCGATGGGTCGCGGTATTAGCTGTCGTTTGCTGGCATTTGCTTCGCGGGGAAGCGTTGTCAGCTGCCGGCGGGAGTGCTGAGCCCGTGGCTGTGTGTGAGGGAAGCTGCGGAGCTGAGCTGCCGGCGCCGCTCCAAACTCCCGCAGCAGCGAGTCTGGCAGGATCTGGAGAAGGCTAAGGGTTGCGGAGAAGTCTAAACATTTTAGGAAGCTGCAAATTTCAAGTTTTTACGAAAATTTGCAAAAACACTCTCAACAACACACGCGTGATTTCTTCAGATTAGTGTTTGTAGCCACACCGAGTACGGAGTAGGGTCCTGGTGTTTGGGGACAGCTGTAGTTCCAGAATGTGCTCAGTAGAGGGAGACAAGAGTTCTGAATTACACCCCCCTCCCCCCCAATTCATCAGATTCCCGTTTTTATTTCCCCCCAACTTGGGTTGCTTTGCCAAGCACTTTTAGCCAAGGTGGAGCCTAATAATTATCAAAATAAAGGAACGCTGTGTTAAGGGAGAATAAACTCCCAACACTTGAGAGTCAGAGGGCTGCCAAAACCGGTTTGGCTCAGTGGATAGAGCGTTGGCCTGCGGACTGAAAGGTCCCGGGTTTGATTCCGGTCAAGGGTATGTACCTTGGTTGCGGGCACATCCCCAGTGGGGGATGTGCAAGAGGCAGCTGATCGATGGTTCTCTCTCATCGATGTCTCTAACTCTCTATCCCTTTCTCTTCCTCTCTGTAAAAAATTAATAAAATATATTTAAAAAAAAAAAAAAAAAAAAGGAATCAGAGGGCCTCATTCCAGAAGTACAAAGCCACCAAGCCCATCGGAAGGTAGCCGTGTTCTCTGGGATTCACACCTGAACTCAGAGTTGTGCAGGGGATTCGTCGGAGCGGCCCAGAGAGAGAACCTCTGGAGACCCCAGTTTGTCTTTGCTGGTCTCGTGCCGGAGTTTAGAAGGTACAGGAAGGATACCGGTGTGACATCCCAGAGCCCGGTGGTTAGGGGTTCAAATGAAATGGAAGAAGCGCTTTCCAGGGTTCTTGTGACAAAGGGGCCTCCAACGCTGGCGCCAGGTCTTGGGGGCCACGTCAGTGCATCATTGTGATGGGGCAGCGGCTGCTCACCCCTTCCCTGGGTGCCTCCAGGCCTTCCGGTCCGCGCTGGGAGTCAGGAAGGACTCTGTCCAGCCGGGAGAGGGCTGCCTGGGGAAGAGACATCCAACCCCGGGAGATCTGTGCCGGCAGGGAGGTCAGATGGTGCCCCCGGATGCCTGCTCAATCCTGTTCGTTCCCGGGGTGTTTTACGCCGCCCCGTTTGCCAGGACAGCGTGTCTGAGGCGGGAAGACAGGTATACGAGTTAGAAAGGGCATTATTGAGTTTGTGGTGGTGTAACCTTCGCAGGTTTCTAACATGTGAAGATGGCTTTTTAAGAGCAAAGCACCCATTTCGTGTTCCTTAACCTCGGCATAACAAAAACTAAAGTAAAACCAGCCCCCTCTGTGTACGCTTTCTTTAGACAGGAGGCCCGGTGTGGGGGAGGGGGCAGGGCGGGGTGCCCGTGTTAGAGGCGGGAGGGCATTTGTGTGGAACTCTGGGTGTCAATTGAAAATGCTGTCTTGTACACCTGTTCTTTTTTTTTTTTTTTTTTTTGTCCATTTAGAGGGTGTAACAAAATAAAGTCGAAGGGCTTTCCCAGACGCTTCCGTGAAGTGCCTTCTTCTGGGGAGAGAGGAGAGAAGGGGAGCAGGTGAGGGGCGGCCAAGCTTCCGGGGGCTCTCTGTGCTGGGACTGGCTTGCTGGATTTTTGTTTTGTTGCCATGGCGATTAAAGTCCTCTTGACAGCACATGCTCAGACTCACCTGTTTCTAACCCACCCAGCCCCAAAGTAAGACTTGCAAACACCCATTGCAGCTTTGCGGGCAGCTGGTGCCAATTCAAGTGTGTGCTGTGCGGGCTTGCTTTGCTTTGTTGTGCTGTTTTATGGGGCGTTTTATTTTTGTTTTTAAAGATGGTACGTAATGGGGTGTTCTTTGTTTGTGTGTCTGTGTGTCTATTGCATCCATTTTCTTTCCAGAATTTCAGATGTTTGCATGTTTGCAAGTTAAAAAATAACCCAATGCATGCATTTAGCTGTAAAAGTGAAAAATGCCTTTTAGAAACCTAAATGTATAGATAAGTTAGAGAAGAAGAGTAGGAAGGGGAGAGTAAAGTGAGCAAATGTAAGGACATGTCATGTGTTTTTCCATGAGGCTGAAATGCAAAAATGAAATAAAGGCTTAAATAACTGAGGAAATGCGTGTCCTGGAAAATTTATAGGAAAACCTTTAGAAGTCCTGGGTACGCAATCTCAGGAACCTCTTGAGGGGATTTCTGTAGGGCTTATCACTTACTATTACTACTGCAATTAATACTTTTGTTATCTTGATTGGCAATTTAATATTAATCAATATTGTGAGTAGTCCTTTACAACTGTCAATGAACCAGCTGGTAGAATTTATACTAGAATTCTTACATGGAATGGTTTGTCTCCATGTAAAATCTGTAGGTAAATCGGGTTATCGGTGAAATGTTGACCGTCCATCGCTATAATGGGGTCTGCCTCAGACCTGAGGGGACCGGACAGAACTATGGAAGGTGGACAGGGAGCTCTGCCTCCTGTTAAGCTGCTTGGGGCAGGGAGAGGCAGCAGCCGCTGACACGGTGACGCCTCTCTCTCTCTCTGATCTCTTTTCACTTACTGAAGTCTGCAAGGTCTAATCCATTTTCAAAGCTGTAGGGGTGAAAACAGAAATAGAAACCCCTCAGTATAGCTTTAGAGTTAGAGTCAGAGATCGAATCTGAACAGAGAGAATCTCGTCGATGCCTGACTTTTATGCTTAGTCCGTTACGAATATAACGAGCTTTTTACTGTAACTCAAAAAGGCCCGCGTCACCTCCCGCATGGCACAAGGATGAATGCACGCCCGACCGCTACATCCTCTCCGGAAATGAGGCCGTGGCCGGGACTGTGTTCACTCCTGTGTCCGTGCTGGCCCGGAAGCAGAAGAACGCCTGTTATGGTAGCTACGCCTCGGTCCCGAGGGTCTATATTTTGTTACAGCCACTCAGTCCCTCTGGCATTGTTCCTCAGAGGCTGGGGAAACACTTTTCTTGTAGGTCTAGCAATTGAGAACCCTCTCGGAACCAGAGTGCCTCTCGAACCCACCATAGACCCCACTTCCTTCTTTCATGTAGTAGCTCAGAAGCACAGGCTTTAGCTCCAGAGACATGGGGTCTAACGGCAGTTCTCCCTGGCTCTGTGGCCTTGAGCAGCTTACCAAAGCCCTCTGGGACCCAAGCTTTTCATCTCAAAAATGGGTCTAGTGGCAGTTCCTTGTCTGAGTGAGGTCATGAACGTAAAATGCTTTGTGTGTGGAGTAGATGACCCCATTGAGAAGACAGGAAGCTGAGGCTCTGAGAAGCCCTCGGCTGGGCCTCCCCGCTTAGGTGGCCTGTCCCGATGCCACGCTCTGTGACGGTCACTCCGGAGCCTGCCCTCCATCTCCACTCCTCCTTGTGCCGGCCATGCTATCTTCCTCCAGAGCCACAGCCCGAGTTCCTCCTGAGGGCACTGAGCACCACCGCCCACCTCCCCCTGGCCGTGCCCAGGAGCTTCCATGGCAGCCTCCTGGCCAGTCCCATCCCCCATCGCTCTGGGAAAAGCCTTCAGAGGGGCCGTTTCCTCCTCCAGGCGCTGCGGGAGGCTGGGGTGTGGGAGGCAGGTATTCCTGTGTCCACTCCCCCTTCCTCTCCAGGCCTGTGTCTCCTCCACAATGTGGCAGGGAACCAGGAGAAGAGCCTCAAAAGCCGCCTAAATGACCACCCTGCAAACATTTAAAATAGCTGTTGCCAAGCCCATGCCCGTGTCCCCCAGGGCAGTGCCCACTTGCCCCTTTGTCGAACCTCACGTGCCTGATCCTCTCCCACTCGGAGGACGGGGCTGCAGGAAGGAGTAGCCGGTGATCCCCCAGGAGGAAGAAGAAAGCAGACCCACGTATTTCATTTTTCAAAAAGTTGTTACATTTTGAATCATTAGTACTAGACACAGCTCAAAAAGGAAGAGGTTTAAAATTATGTATATGTCCCCAGATCTCCCCTGTCACCCACCGCCCTGGCCCCACCTCCTCCCAGACAGGTGACCTCTCCTACTAGTTTGCCATCTGTCCTTCCAGCCATTGTGTGTGCGCGCGCCCAGGCGGGGCAGGGCGGGGCGGAAGTTGGCTTACAGTTGTGAGTGCTCGAAACAGTATATTCCTATATTATTATTTTTTAAAATATATTTTATTGATTTTTTACAGAGAGGAAGAGAGAGGGATAGAGAGTCAGAAACATCAATGAGAGAGAAACATCGATCAGCCGCCTCCTGCATACCTCCCACTGGGGATGTGCCCGCAACCCAGGTACATGCTCTTGACCGGAATCAAACCCAGGACCCTTGAGTCCACAGGCTGACGCTCTATCCACTGAGCCAAGCCAGTTAGGGCTATGCTGCTGCTTTTATGGAATCCGATGTCTCCATAAATTTCTGATTTCTGAGTTATTAGGAAGTTAGAGGTTACATTCTGTGTTAGGTACTTTTACAGTTTCAAATTTTAATATTAAGTTCTTTTTTTTTTTTCTTGCTGAAAGTAATATTAACTTCTTAAATCATTTGGAATATAACCTGGTTGATGGTGTGATATCTGAATCAACTTTTTCCCCCAGATGGTCCCAAGTATTTAAAAAGTACTACAATCTGGGGCTGCCGAGGGAGGAGGCCCGTAAATCCTCCTCAAAATAGCTCTCGGCGCACACGTCTGACTGACTTATCTCAGTCAGTATGCTAATGACGTACGTAGTTGCCAACGGTTTCTTACCAGGCCATTCTCAGCTATAGATACGGAGTCATCTGTGCAGTACAGAGAATGCATCTCCATTTCCCACCGCCTGCTGAAAAGGAGTGGGACCATCAGTCCCCATTACCTCCCCAATCAGTGGGGGGCTGTGTCCGTGCCCTCAGATAGTAGCAGGATGAGCTGGAGGAGCCTTCAAGCCTCTCAGAAAGTCAGCGCACTCCAGGGTCCTGAATGAGTGTGGAAGACTCCCGAAGGTCACACACATACGCATACACACACACACACACACACACACACACACACACACACGGCCTGCAAGCCATCTTTTTTGCTCCCAGCTGGGAGCACCGGGACAGCCGTCCAGAGCTCACTGCTCAAACCCAGCTGTCACGTCAGAACTTCCTGCTTGGGCCCTTGGTCCCTGCAAGGACTTTGTGGCAAGCTTAATGCTGAGCAAGAAAGTATATTGCCCGAGACCTCTTAGTGTGTATGATTTTCATTTTCATTTTCTCCCACTTCCCTGAGAGGTTCCGTGCAGACAGTTGGTATCCTCCTCTGAGACTGTCACTGCAGGAATCGGATTGTTGTCACTTCCAGGGGTAACACAATGGACTGGGGCGTCTCCCCTCCCCAAGTGAGATCTGGCGTTTTGAAGTGTTTTCTCCTCATCTGGTACCTGTGTCCTCTCACACCCCACGCATCTCATTTGGTTCGCTTCCCCTTCTCTTCCCCCTCATCTCCCCACACCTGACGAGCCCTGCGTGTCCAAGTATGACAACCAGATGTCCATGCCTCCAGCTCAGCCCTCCCGTGAAAGATGTCATTTGATTATTCCCCAAACGCTCCTTCGTATTGTCAGCTCACACGTCCCTGAACGGCCTGGGCAGTATGCAGATGCGAAGAGCAGCCCTGGTTTCTCTTTGGGGACGATTCACCCTGGAAAAGGACACTGCACGTGCACGCGGAGCCTACAAAGCCATTTTCCCAGCAGGAAGGAGGCTGCACAGCACACGCATGGGGCTGCACGTGAAACATCTCAACTCGGAACTCACTTTCCCAGCAGGACCCGAGTCACTTTGAGCAGTTACTCCTCTCTGAGGAGAAGCCCAGCGAGCCCTGGGCAGGTGGCTCAGTGGGCGGATCAGCCCTGTGCACCCCAAGGTGGCGGGTTCCATTCCCGGTCAGGGCACGTTCCCAGGTTGTAGGTTCATTCCCCAGTCGGGAGGCAACCTACCGATGTTTCTCTCTCCCTTCCGCGCTCTAAAATCAATTGCAAGAGAGGAAAGGAGAGCCCAACAACACCTGCAGCCTTCTGCCCCCATTGTTGTCTCTGGCGCTTCAGTTTCTGGAAACGCTTTGCCCTAATAAGTAACCTGTGTCTCCTTGACTCAGTGCAGCCATCTTCCTTGTAGGCAGGAGGGCGGTTTCAGCGTCTGTTTGCAAGTGGCTCTCGTTCATCCACGGTTCACTGCCGCAGGTCCATTTACAAAAGTAAATATTAACGTGACTCCAGTGCTCCATGGCCTGGAAGTAGATGGGAGGATTAGCGGGTGTGCCGAGGCACATTTAAATGAGGGCAGTCTATAAATCAGTTGAGATTCCTTAATTAAGATTCAGCAGCCGCTCAGCCACCTGCCCGCCCTGGTCTGCAATTAGCATTTTGAGCTGCACAGCCCTGACAAACACCTGGTCACCCGGATGTGACTCCAAACCCATCGAGCTTAATGTGAAGACGGTGACTTGGTTTCTAACCCTTATGCCCACACTTGGGTCTTTGGTCATCGTGGGCTTCCGTAGGAGCCTGGGGATTGTGCTGGGATCCTGCTCTCGTCACGCCCGGCAGTTACGGTGACGTCCAGGGCAGTGCTGTTAAGCCATGGGCCCTGGCGGAGGACACTGGCCTCTCAGGCTCGCCAGAGGGATGTGGGTGTTGACCTCGATCCCCTCTCCTGTATGCAGGATGGGATGCCCCTGCTGGAGGAGCCGGGGGCAGTTCAGGCATTACTGATACCGGTTTTCTGGACTCAAGATCAGCACTTTTTGATTTTGAAAAGTATCAGCCTCCTGCATTGTTCTCAGCACTGTGGGCAGCTGCGGGTGTGTGGTGTGTGTGTGATCAGTCATCAGGGCCTGTCACATGCTGGCAGAGTGAGTGACCCAGGGCAGAGCCGGGGGAATTGACGCTGATGGCTTTATGGTTTTACTGGTTTGGGCCACTGGTGACTGCATCCCAACCAGAAGATGCACGCTGGCGGGTGCTGTGCTTTCTCAAGTGCAGAGTGTCTTATTTTTGAGAAAGGCTCTCTCTTCAGAATACTTCCCTAGTGAAAGAATGAAAAAGTTACTTTAAAAAATTTCAGTCGGAGACCAAATACTCACGACTATAAGCATAAAGCGTCCGTGGGCTTTGTAGAAGCCAGTCTGGTCCATGGACCACACCCTGCCCTCAAGGCCCTCGGCACCCTGTGGTCTGGGCCTTCAGTCGAGGGGCATAGACTGGCGACCGGGGAGCTGCGAGCACAGGGCACGGTGCCTGGATCAGCTTCTGGAGAGGATATCGCACATGACCCTGCTGACTCCCAGCAAGCTGTCTCAGAAACTGTAAAACACAGAGCCCATGAGGTTTTCTTACAAGGGTTGAAGGAATGGAGAGTAACACGGAAAGCTGCTTTCCCTCTTGCTCCTTCGAACGTTCTGTGGGATGCACATAGATTTAATATGTTGGCCAAGTGTGGTCAAGCACCAGAAGCATTTGGCCCCGTACAAGTTACCGTATTATGTGCTGCAGCCTACATCTCGGTGATTATTCTGTAACTACCAGTGTGTACTGCTTGGTCCCCTCACATCTGCATTTTTAAAGCTCCCCAAACCAAAGAGTTATCGACTGCTGGTCGATAACCACAACTTAACTGAAACACAAGAGGGGAGGGAGGGAGAGGAGGCACATATGCACCCAGTGGGCAGGGACCTTTAGCACTTCATCATCAGTGATCAAGAAATAGTCAAATAAGGAAAAGGGTGGAACAATATATCCCAAAATGTTAACATGATCACAGTGAGGAGGATTTAGGATAGTTTCAGTAGACCTTTTTCTTCATGTTCACCTGTATTTCTTGGTTTCTCTGCACAGATCATGGATGATGTAGCGAACTCGTTCTAAATTGCTTGTTTTAGGAAGTGGCTTTAAGGCTCCTGGGCCGCTGCTGTGTAGTGGGCGCTGAGTGAATGTTTCCCGGGTCCGTGGCCACCTTTTCTAAGGGAGGGCGCTTCCCCGAGGCTGTGGGGTTAGGTGCCCGCACCAGCCATGCCGGTCCCGGGAGGCAGGTGTGTGCCGGGCATGAGGTGCCGCTGTGAAGAGCCGGCTGCCTCTCCCTCATCCCCAGGCCTTGCTCCTCTGCAAGCACAGTCCTGCTGCTCCCGGAAAGTCCAAGACCGGCAGCCACTGGGGCACAGGCGTGGGGTTGGCCTTTGTGTACAAGGAGGTGGAGCCTGTGGTTCCACGAGTGACAGCGATCGGAGGACTGCCTGCCGTCCTCTTCTAGAGAGAGATGGAGGGCCCGGAGGCCTTCCTGAGCCACACGACGACCACGGTTCCCTGGCCAGTATCGGCCCTGTGGATTTCTCGCTTTATGTTTTAGAAATTTAGGTCCTGAAGAGGAAGGCTTATTTTTTGTGGGATTTTTCCCCCCAGTTATTTGAAGTGTGACCTGGTAAACTGGGAGGTGTTCTTTCAGGGGCATAGAGCATTTCTTTGGTGTAATAAGTACTTTGAGTGGTCCAGTCGCTCAACAAGAGCAGGTTTCTCATAGCTCTGACTCTGAGTCGTTAAAGTTCCAGTTTGCTTATGAAGTCCATAAGCTGTGTTTTAACTCTGATGTTACATTCTGGAAACTGGTGCGAATTGGGTTGCGGCGGAGTACTCAAGAATAGAAAACTTCATTACTAATTTAGAAACAGAAGATATACCTCAAACATCAAAATGATGGTTGTTGTTTTTGGGTTTTTTTTTTTCTCTCGTGGCTTTCTATACTTTCACATTCAGCAGATTACCCCTGGAAACGTAACGTATTTTGTGCATTTTATATCCTGGAGCTTAAGTTAGCCTGACTGATTTTCCAAATGTAGGTAAAGGCAGCTAAACAAGTGATTTGAACACTTGTTATTTATATTACCAAGTCCAGGTAATTCATAAAATCTATTATTGTTCAGTGCTCTGCAAGAGCGGTCCTCTGAGGCATGTGCCAAGAGAGAGAGGGTGTGTGTTACAGCCCGTGTGGCACAGACCAGCATCTGAGAGCTTCAAAAGCCGGGCCCATGTGGCATGGGCCAGGGTCCAGATGCCTCCGGAGCCGGCCCCGGGGAGAGGACCAGGTCCAGGTGCTTCCAGAGCAGGGCCCGAGGGGAGTGGACCAGCCGTCTAGATCAGTGGTCAGCAAACTGCGGCTCGAGAGCCACACGCGGCTCTTTGGCCCCTTGAATGTGGCTCTTCCACAAAATATCACAGCCTGGAAGAGTCTATTTTGAAGAAGTGGTGTTAGAAGAAGTTTAAGTTTAAAAAATTTGGCTCTCAAAAGAAATTTCAATCGTTGGCCTATTGATATTTGACTCTGTTGACTAATGAGTTTGCCAACTGCTGGTCCAGGTGCCTCCAGAGCAGGGCCCAGGGGGAGAGGACCAGTCCAGGTGCCTCCAGAGCAGGGCCTGATGTGCAGTCGCTCAGAGCTTTCTTCTGAGACGAGGCACCGCTCACAGGAAGCCACTGCACATTGAGATGTGATTCTTTCTGATGGCGCGTGGAGTGACAGCCGAGGTGTGACACCCCTGTGGCCTGGAGCCTCCCCTCCCACCTGTGCAGCACAGGGATGTTGGATTTTCCAGCTCCCGGACACCCCCACCCCACCCCTCTCTGGCATCATAGAAACACAGTGTGCCCAACAGAGCATCCCAGGCCACCCTTGCTTAGATGAGCAGAGACAGCTCGGGAGACAAGTGGGCTCAGTCCCGTGGTGGGATACGGGAGGAAGCGGGGAGCTGTGTGCATGGAGCTGTGTGCATGGCCGGGCGTGCGAGGCTGGGTGGACGCCTCCCAGTTACGGGGCACCAGACGGGGCCGCCTGCTGGGTGGAAGGCCGGCAGCCGCCTGCTATTGTGCAGCCCCTCTGCCAGATGCACGGGGACCCTTCCCGGCACAATAGCCATTCAGCCGGGCGAGCGGCCTCATTAAACATTCAGCCCGTGCTTCCGGCGGCTCATTAGGGCCGCAGAGAGCGGTGACGTGGGTGCGGGAAGCCCGGGCTTCAGAGCGGAGGCTGAGCAAGCGGCAGTGGCTTCTCCAGGCGCAGCCTGTCCCAGGATGACCGGCGTGTGCTCCCTGCTGTGCCTGAAGTACAGGTAAAGACCCAGCCCAGCAGGTGGCATTCGGGGCTGGGTCCTTGTCTCCCATCTGTCTCAGGGGCCTCGGATTTTTGAGCATTTACCCCTATCCCCCCCCAAGCCCTCCGACCCCTTAGGGAACTGCCTGCAGCGTTGGGAATCTTTGCAGAGCCCCGGCAATGTGGTGCTATTGTGTCCTCGGCCGGGGGATGACTGTGTTCAAAGGGTGGTTTTGAACTTGGTGCTGGAGGTTTCGAATAGCAAATCATTCCTCTGTCACACGTCAGATGTTGAGCTGTGGCGGGGTCTGAATCCTAGCAGTTTGTGGAGCAAGTTGACTCCATCCGAGCCTCTGAGGATGTCCTGCCTCGGAGCGGCTCCTTACTCAGCCTCCCCCTCTGGACCATCAGGGTAGGTAGGCATCCTACAAAGTACATATTCATCAGCTGTTCCCGGCTCTGCCAATGGGCGAGGGCTGTCCTTCCGCGGAGCCCGCTACTTTGTTGCTGGGAGCTGGGTGGCATTGAGAGCTGGCAGGTCTGCACGGGGAGCACGGAGCAATGACGAACTCGGACAAAGTGCACTTCCTCGGTCTCACGGTGGGCATGTGTTTCTCTTTCCTGCACAGAAAATGCTTCCAGACGGCTCACTTCTACGTGGAGGACAGCAGCTCCCCTCGGGTGGTCCCCAACGAGAGCATCCCCATCATCCCCATCCCGGGTGAGTGCGGCCCTGCGCCTCTGACTGGGGGCTGGGGGTTTCTGCCTTTTGTTCTCCGCCGGGTGTGACAGCCACGGCGAGTTAGTGTTTGCACAGCCCTGTGAAGCTTGCCCGGTTTCCGAGATCTTAACTCAACTCGGGGCGAGTGAATGAAATCTGTGCTCTGTCTGCTAAGGAATGAAATCCTCCTTCCGAGGAACCAGTGACTCTGAAGGTGCGTGGCAGGGAGGGAGGCAAGAGAGGAGAAAGGGAGAAACGTGAACTTTTGTGATCTACTTGGACTGTATCTTTTTTTCCTAGGTGGTTGTGTTTAGATTTTGTTTTTAAAAAAATCATAATGTGCAATACATCTTTAAGATCGAGTTTCCTCCTGAGTCCTTACTCCGAAAGTCATGTGTGTTGGAGTTGGAAGTTTGGGTTCTTAAGGTGTTTGTGTGGAGGTGGAGGGCTATGTGCTTGGTCTGGAATGTATTTCATTTGTCCTCCAGTAGAAAGATTGAGCACTCGGTCAGGGCGAGGGGGGTGAGGGTGGCGGTGGGGGTAGCAAGCTCTGTGGTAAATGCATGGCCCTTCAGGAGTTCCACAGCGGCTGAGCGGGCTGGTGAGCCTGTGGGGTTTGAAGGTGTCCCCACTCTAGGAGTGCTTCATAAAGGCACGTGGGCTCTCCCTAGTGTAGAAGAATACCTGGCACATAATAGGCATTCTTTATTTATTTTTAAATGTTTTATTGAGTTTTTACAGAGAGGAAGGGAGAGGGAGAGAGAGTTAGAAACATCAATGAGAGAGAAACATTGATCAGCTGCCTCCTGCACACCCCCTACTGGGGATGTGCCCGCAACCAAGGTACATGCCCTTGACTGCAATCGAACCCAGGACCTTTTAGTCCGCAGACCAATGCTCTATCCACTGAGCCAAACCGGTCTCAGCATAGTAGGCATTCTTTATCTCAGAGAGAGGAGTGGGGGTGGGGGGGAGAAGAAGGGAGGGAGGGAGAGAGTGAGAGCGAGCGAGAGAGAGAGGGAGGGAGGGAGGGAGGGAGGGAGGGAGGTTGGGGGGAGAATATGTCAGAAAACTTTCCTGAAAGGCCACAGCTGTGAAGCTCCGAGGCAGCCAGCCGTTCTGAGCGCGGGGGAGGAGGCTGCTATTGTCTGCAAACCTCCCCAGGTGCAGCCACGGCAGGGCCCTCCCTGCCCTGTGTGTGGCTGCGTGTGTTTCCTCATTAGATGTTGTTGGAATTGGCCAGGAGCTCCCCATCTAGTCAGCTTCGCTCACTAAAGCCTGTCCCCCAGAAACAAGCCGGGAGCAGGAAGCCTCTGATTCGCTTCTCCATGGGCCATTTGGTGCCTTGGGATCTGTCTTGTGTTAGGCCGGGACTTCTCTGCTCGCCCTGCCCCTCCTCCGCGATGGAGGGGTCCGCACTCTGACATTGAGAGGAGGGAGGCGGGGAGGAGCCTGGCGCAATCCTTCTGTCCAGTCTGGGAGTCTGTGCAGTCCTGTGTGGATAAGCCTTTTCCTCCTGCATCACCTAGAACTGTGGACGGCAAACTGCGGCTCGCGAGCCACGTGCGGCCCTTGAGTGTGGCTCTTCCACAAAATACCACAGCCTGGGCAAGTCTGTTTTGAAGAAGTGGCGTTAGAAGAAGTTTAAGTTTAAAAAATGTGGCTCTCAAAAGAAATTTCAGTCATTGTCCTATGGATATTTGGCTCTATGGACTAATGAGTTTGCCGACCACTGGCCTAGAATATCTGTTGACCTCGGGAAATTGCCTGGGAGCCTTTCTCCCCTGAACTGATTCATGTGACGAGCAGCTGTTGGGTAGCTGTGCAGTTGAAACCCGTTTTTAAAGGTTAAATGGTGAGATATTCTGTGCTGTCTTCCTTTTTATTCTCTTCTCCCCCGGGGTTAGGAATCAGAGGACCGAGGATCTCTCCCTGTGTCCACCATGAGGCCTTCGGTCAGCGACCTCACCTCCCTGAGCTTCGGCCTCAGGGTCTGTGATGGGAGCAGCTGCCTGCCCGATGCCCAGGGGGTGCGGGAGGGGGGGCAGCGTTAACGCTCCCCTGGGGGACGGCGAAGCACTGGGGGGCAGAGGAGCCTTGTCTGCTGGACCCTGTGCTGTGGGTCCCGCAGCCCCGGAGAGCCAGCTCTCACGGGTCCTCAGGCCGGGATCCCCCTCACACTGGCCACCCCACTTGCCCACCGGGCCACGCTCTTCGGCTCAGGCTCTAGACTTCCGAGCCCCCGGCATCCTAGGACATGCCCTCAGTCATGCCTGCCTTGCCACCCACACCTCGGAGGAGTCTTAGACCAGAGGCGCTTTTGAATCTTTCCTGATTCGGTCCCAGCTCCCTATTCATGACCAAGTAAAAGTCAACCCAAAGGCCTTAAACACGACTTTCTGCCAGTTCTCACTCACGGTGGGACATGGGGATGCAATGTCTTCCAATTTTCCTGGCAGAGGAACCCGTGTGCCTGGCGGTACCTCAGGTGGCATCGTAGATGCCTCCTTGACAAGTTGTTGCTCGTTTGTGAAACTGACAACCTTAGCTTTAATGCGTGTGGTGGTCAAGGACTTACCTAGTATGTATAGTGGTTGGCAAACTCATTAGTCAACAGAGCGGCAAACCGTGGCTCACGAGCCGCAGTTTGCTGACCACTGACCTCGTAAAACCAAGAGAGAGTCCCCTCCCTGTTTTCCAGGTAGGACAGCCTTCCTAACTGTGAAGAGAGGCCTGGGTAAACTCACTTTACCCTCGACTGGGAAGGAGCTACCCCCTATGACCTTTCTTTAAAGATCCCAATTTCTTCTTTTTCTCAAAAAAAACCCCACCATCCTACTTAATGATTAAACTTGTAGGCCAGCTGGTGTGGTACAGAGGATGATCGTTGACCTATGAACCAGGAGGTCCCAGGTTCCATTCCCCATTAGGGCACCAAGCCCTGGTTGTGGGCTCGATCCCCAGTAGGGGGCATGCAGGAGGCAGCCAATCAGTGATCCTCTCTCATCACTGATGATTCTATCTCTGACTCCCTCTCCCTTCCTCTCTGAAATCAATATATATTGTAAAATAATAATTTTGTAAAATGTAGTTTATGAAGCACTTTAACCATCGTTATTCTCCTTATTCTTATGATTTCTTCTAGTTATTACAGTACAAACTCACTTACATGAGGAAATTAATTATAAGAAAAACACAATTTAAATAAATTTGAGTTATTTTCATTCTGTTTAAACTCTCGGTCCAACTTTTTTCTACTGGAGACCTCCTTGGGATGATGTTAAGTCATTTACCTTGGGAATTTTCTAATTGTTCTTGTTTCCAAAAACAATAGGATAGTTATAGAGATCGTATGGAATACTTAATTTGCCCATTAGATCTCATTTACATCTCATTCTTATCCAAAACCTAATAATGGGTCTACAGGCCCAGATTTGTCAACTTATTGTATCACTGGAATGCCTCATATTTAGAATGGACTTTTAAAAATATATTTCTAGACAACTACCTGGACACTGAGTCACCATGCTGGTTAAAAATGTGTGTAACAGCCAAAACCTGTTTGGCTCAGTGGATAGAGCATTGGCCTGCGGACTGAAGGGTCCCAGGTTTGATTCCCGTCAAAGGCATGTACCTTGGTTGTGGGCACATTCCCAGTAGGGGGTGTGCAAGAGGCAGCTGATCGATGTTTCTAACTCTCTGTCCCTCTCTCTTCCTCTCTGTAAAAAATCAATAAAATATATATATATTTTAAAAATGTGTGCAACAGGGTAAGATGGCAAATTCAGGTGCCAAACTGTTACAAAACATAGCTCCTGAGCCAGCAATGTGGAGTGTGAAATATACAGGACTCTGTTCCTAGAACTTACTTTACATTGAACCTTTTTTTAGAAAACATCTTCATCACCATCTAATATTTGAGCATTAACCAACTTCATGCTTTCTATTTATTTTCACTGTACTCCTGTAGAGACGGGTGCAGTTGATATCCCCATTTTACAGGTGAAGAAACTGAGGTTCAGAGCTGTTATTTAGTTTGCCCAGGGTGACATAGATAAATGGTGGAGGGAGCGCTATAATTCTGTGAGACTTCAGGGCACAGATGCTCAGAAATGGCCCTGCCACCTCTTGGGGTGCTGTTTTGGCAGCTCTCAGGCCGGAGGTCTTGGGGCTCCTCATTTGGATATTGCTTCATTCGATCAAGGCCTCTTCAAATTCAAAATGTGAATATTCTCGAGTTTCTTTTTCTGAGTTGTTCTTTGTCATTACTTTCACTAACGCTAACTATTAGCTTCACTAAATTCGCGTTCATCGTCTTGGAATTTGTCATCCTTCTGTTAACCATTTGTACGCCATAAGTGTCTATAGACATAAGCGGTGGGCCTTTTTTTTAATTAAATTCAAAGTATCCTGGCAGTTAACTGGTTAAAGTTTCCTCCATATCAAAGACCCTCTCCCCTTTCCTTTGTTCTCTGGTCATTTTTATTCTCTTCCTAAGGAGAGACTCAACCCACTAGTACTTTTATTCCCTGTGTGATATAAATGACTCCAGGAGGATTCATAAACATGTTGAACGTTGACTAAATTTATACATTAAATCAGCAATTTTGGGATGATTCTGCTGTGGCTAAAATTCATAAATAAATAGCTCTGATCTTTCTATTCCAAAGCATAAGGAGAATCAGTAAGTTATGCTGACTTCAGAGAAGTAATATAAAATAGACAAATGGTTAAGGAAAGCTTTGTTAACCTTTCTAAAGTCAGCCCTTGCAGACAGCAGTTTATGGGTTGTTTTTTAAAATCTATTTTTATTGATTTCAGAGAGAAAGGGCGAGGGAGAGAGAGAGAAGGAGGGAGGGAGGAAGGGGGAGAAAGAGAGAGAGAGAGAAACATCAATGATGAGAGAGAATCATTGATTGGCTGCCTCCTGCATGCATCCAGTCCCATCTCCCCCCTTCCCATGCTTCCCCTCCCCCCGCCACTGGGGATTAAGCTTACAG